TTCTTTTGTATGTCCGACGATCAAAAGACCGCTTGGGATCGAGTCTGTTTATAATTTGAAAGGTAATCTTGTCAGTTGTATATACAAAAGGTAAATTGTTTACAAAATGAGTCTTTGTTTATTATCTGATAAATGTATACTTTTTTCGTCAATTGTTTACGATTGCAGATGCTTTTTGTGTAAAATCCAAGTCAGATGTATGTAAGCTAATAAATGTTCTTGTTAATCTTATCTCGCCTTTTGGTTCGTTCACAGTTACAAGAAATCACCACATAGAGTCTCTCAAGTCTCCGTAGATATAACAAACAGAAATAAATTACACAAAATAAATTGTAGCTATGCGTCGATTCCGCGCGACACATCCGAACATGTAAGCCGAACAATAGTGTGGGGAGAGTGAGTAATCAAGGGTTGCGTGACGCTCAAACAAAAGACGAATCTATGAGATTTGAAAATCGCGTAACTCCAGGTTCGCGTAAGTCGGGGTAGCGTATTCAAAAACAAAATGGCTTAACATCTTGCATGCTTTTCCAGCAATTTAACATTTTTATATACTATACATACAAATACAGTAAGGCCCCGCTTAATGCAGGGGATGTGTTCCTAGACGACAAAGTGCTAAACGAAACAGCGTTAAACAAGATCATTTTAACACAGAGTACATAGGGAAAGGGGAACACTTGACCAAAAATAAACAAATTTTACTTTAATTTTAAGTTATTTTTATATTAGTTTGCATAATGTATGTTAAATAACACACAAACATATGTACACAGAAATGTAAAGTTCATTTTTTGTGACGCAGGTCCTGACTTTTATGAAATTCTTGTTTTTTTCACAATAAAGTTGTGAAGTTTCATTGTCGCTTTTTTCTTTCCTTAAGCAAATGTCGGTAGCAGAAGATTGCATCCAAAATGCCTCGTTTTGCTTTTGCTCTTCTTTCAAAATCTGCATCATTCGCTACAATTTGATAAATGATTTCGGTTATTGTTACCAAACTTTTACTAAGGAAATCTGTAGAGAAATTTTTGGGTTCTTCGTTTTCAGAATCTCTATTTTCCAGTTCTATGTGAATTCCTTGTTCTGTCAGTTCTTGAGGGTCGTCATTCGTAAGGCTCTCACCAGAAACCTGCAGTAACTCAATATCCTGCTTGTCTATATCTCCAAATCCTGCTTTATCAATTAGGTTGACAAATTGGTCAACCTATCAATACAGTGATAGGCTCTTCTCATTGAGAATTTTTGGATACCTTCAGCTATAACTTCTTCCCTCTTCTTATTTTGATATGAAACCGTGCTTTACAATTTGTTTATGCTTCTAACACAATAAAGTGTTATAAATTAAGACACTTGGCGGGTCGCCAAGTGTCTTAATTTATAACACTTTATTGTGTTAGAAGCATAATTCTTCCCTCTTCCTTCATGCATTTATCAGTTAATTCTTACCAAGTGAAGTAGATATTTCCTATGGCATCCATGATGTTATATTTTTTCCAAAATTGCACAAAACAAACATAGATTTAAGGAAAGTGCAGCGAAAAGTGGCAATATGTTATAACTTACTGACACCTTTTGCTGATTGGTTTATGTTCATAAATAATCGTATTATGCAGTATATGAATCAATAAAATGCTGTGATAATTTAAATTGGTGTAAATTTTGAGCTTTTTTTTTTTAAGGTTTCAAGCAGACCATGTTATATCAAATCAGCATTAATCAAGGCAGCATTAAGTGGGGTCTTACTGTATATCCAACTAAGCAAACATTCTATTGCTGGAAAAGTATGCAGTGTTATAAGTAATTTTGTTAATAATTGCAGTTTTGTTAGACAGTGATTTAAAAACAATAACTTTTCAAAAACTTTTAACTAATGAATTGTTATAAAATCTACTATGAAACTGAAAAGGAGTTTTGTATGAACCTGTTCATACAAAACTCCTTTTGAAATAAATCACAAAACCCAATTTAAAAAATTTTCAGAGATTTCAGGAATCAGTAAATTAGACTCCCAAGTCTCTCAACATTTGTTTTTTTTGTTTATAATTTAAAATATACTATATAAAATTTAAAAAAATAAATTTTCAATAATATTGTTTATAAAGTTTTCACTTATAACAAGCATCTTTAAAATTTTTTAGTTTAATTCATATCTGAAAATGCAAATAAATGTAAAAAACAAAAAAAAAAAATGAACAACAACATTTTACAAAAAATCAATCTTTCAATGTAACTAGTAGTCATAATGTGCATTTCAATTAAGTGATTTACAAATATAAGTTTTCAAATAAAGATCATTATTGCATTAAAAAAAGCATATAATCATCAGTACAGAAATGACAAAAATTTTTCAATAAAATTTCAGATACAGACAAGCAAATTGTACTTAAAATTTTAAGGCAATCTTTCTATATCTGCATATTCTTGTAACAGATAAATACTATACAAAAATATTTTGTTTCTATCATTAAAGGAAATAATTGCTTACTATTTATATCAGTTTATATAACACATATAACATTCTTTTCTGCCATCTACAGAATTTTTGAAATATTATGGTAAATGAATACAAAATTTAATATTAAGTACCCTTATAAATTTATCAAATATTCATTTCATGAAAATATCAGCAAAAACTATATTAAACTATTTTAACACACACCAGTTACAATTTTTCTTTTATTGATGTGAGAATAAAGTTAAATTTTCATATTCAAGTGCTGATATGATATTTTGCTTCAAACTTCTTACAAAATTATATAAATCGAAAAACAGGCACTAATTATTTGTTAATAATATTCTATCTAATATAAAAATTTTTCTATATATATCACAATATTCAAGTTTAACATGAAAAAAAATGATGATTATATATAAAAAACATCAATCTTATATTTATATGAATATTACAGAACTCATATTTTAAGGTGATAAAATCAATTTCATAAAAAAATAAATAAAACAGAAAAAATTTTATATCCATTGAGAGCTATTAAAATTGATAATAATTGAAAAATTTAGTGAACATTTTTTAACTAGCTTAGCACACTTTTTTAAATTTGAAATGTTAACATGTTTAGACTGCACATACATTGTTAACAATATGCTGTTTTAAACTTTATAGCATTAACACTCAAATTCAGATGTAATTATATAATCTCTCTATAATTAAAAATTAATTTCAAAATATTTACATCATAAAATCATGAGGTTCTAAAGGTATAGTAGAATAGAGTGCAAAAACAAATACAGTGAGTGATCGGATAACAAACACTTTCGCGAAAGATTTTTATGTTCGGACAACAAACACATGATCGGATAATGAACACCCCACAGAACAAACACAAGAAGCAGCAACGTAAAATAATAAATACCGATTGATCTTCCCTTGTCTTCAGGCAACAATTCGAAACTTTTCGGAGTGTGTGAGACGTTGCCATTGACGCTCAAGCCAGTATATACCGATCGGATAGTATTCCTCTGAACTTTGAAACTCTCCCTTGTAATTCCAGCCTTTTATTTTTCTGACAAAACAATTCTTTTATGTATTTGCGAGACTGTTTGGTGGGTACTCGTTAAGTTTTGTGTTGGTTTTTCTTTTTGAAAGGTGAGAGTGGGCAGAAGATGCCTAATGTTGCTGGGCAGTATGGGGTGAACAGGTCTACAGTAGGCCACAGTTCAATCTTATTTAAGAAAAATACTGTATAGTCAAGAAGATTCAAGCAGCTAAAGGAGTAACAAAAATCACATCTGAGAAATAAAGAACATTGAAGAGCTCATAATGGAACCTGAAACTAATTTGATGACAGAAGAACGCTAAGAACACCAAGAAACTCGGCGAGATATGTTCTCTTTTGAAAAAGAGGATTAATTCTGATATCTGCTATTAAAGATCTTTTGAAGAAGTGGGAGGATGTCAGAACAATGGTCTTAGAATGGCATCCAAACCAGGTTGAGGCTTGGGGATTTTTACAATTGCAATGCTATTAATTACTTACGAAAAATCCTGAAGAAGAGAGAAAAGCAATCGACATTAGACAGATTCTTTAACCCTTTCAAACGGAAAAAACATGACTAATAAAAATGCAAGACTGTGTATGTATGTATTTTTATTATTACATATAAATAAACTTAGTAAGAAAGTATATATTTTTTATTTTTGGGGGTCTCCAGAACAAATTAATTAAATTCCCATAGAAACCTATGGTAAATCGATAATTGGTTAATGAACAATTCAGATAGCGAACAAAGTCTTGGAACGGATTATGTTCATTAATCGATCACCCACTGTACATTTGTAAAATAACAATGATTATGTAATATTTAAATACAGTCTTCCAAAAAGAATGCTACTATTTTAAATTAATTATGTATTTTACTGTAATTGTGTTAGTTATTAACTGAGAATGTTTTAATAGACAGTACATTAAAACATTGGAAACATTCTTCCTATGCTCACTACAGCCTATCCATTGTCACTCCTCACAGCAGATACAATTCTACACTACTCATATTGCACAATGATAAGTGATTCAGATTTTGCAGAGTACAAAATGCCTTCTCTGTTGCAAAGTTGCCATTTTCATTTACGGAGCTTCTTAGAGGAAATATGTGACAAGATGTTTGAATGCAGATGGGAGATGAAACTTGAAAACTTACTCTATTGATTGGTGTACATCACATATATTATAATAATAATTAACATAATTACAGTAATTTAAAATGGTAGCATTCTTTTTGGAAGATCCTGTATATTTTCTTTATACAAAATACTTAATGAATTAAAACTAGACTAAAGAAACATAAATAATATATGCTATATCACATTAACAAAAAATCAAATTCAAAACTTACTTTAAATAAAATTTTAATTCACAAAAACTAATAATAATAATTATTATTAATATAAATTTTTCTTTCTATAAAATTAAAACAATTCAAAATTAAAAAATAAATTAAATAATTTGATAAATTAATTTTTAAGATTTCCAAATAAATAATTCTACAGGATAAAAAATGAAAATTTCTTAGAATTTTAAAAAAAAGCAATATCATCTTTAGAAACATTTTCTTCAATTAAATCATCTAAATTAGATATGTTAGATTCAGATTTTGACAATGATTCTTTGCTTTCCACTTCTTTTAGTGGAGATAATGAATTTTGTGCAGAAATTCTAGGTGCTCTTCCATCAAATTTATCACTTCTCTCTGCAAATCTACTTCCTATTGGAACAGACGTTTCTTCTTCTATGATTTGTGAATCCACAGTTTCTTGTTTATTATATTTCTTATTGTCAGTTGAACTTTTTTCTGATTCATTGAATCTTGCACCCTTTAAAATTCTATCCACAATAACAGTTATATGTTTTTTAAATTTATTTATATCTTTCATTATTTCTAGTTTCTCAGCTGATACTGTAGATGACTCCTTTCCTGACTGTATTAAATAAGTTGCAAGCATATGTGTAATAGCTGCATTGACTGTTTCTTCCCATTCTTTGTGAGAGTCAACATCAGAAAAAGGAAAAAATACAGACTGCAAAACTGAATATTCATCATCTGTCATATTTGTTGTTAATTTAATTAATAATGTAATTAACAGTGTAGCAGAATTTAAAGTACAACAACAACTTTCAAGTTCTTGAGTAAATTCTTCTATAGACTCTGTCAAGGTTATTATCTGTCTATGAGTTGCTTCTAAAAGAGAATCCAAATTATTTAAAGGTGTCGGAGTCTTATCTTTCATTTTTGTAAGTAAACGTTTTTGGACAACTCTAAACTGTGCTGTTCTCTGACCCAATAATTCTTCCAATTGCATTAATTTCATTCGACATTCAAAATGCTTTTCTATAATCTCAAAATAATCTGATAAAGGAATACTTGAAGTGTAAGAAAATTTAATGCCATTGCTAGTACCATATTCATGTTTGAAATATGTAGAAAGTCTTTGAATTAATTCTGAAGTGAAAAGCCATAAAGCAGCAAAATAATCACTTTGAATTCTGTATCGTTGTGATGTTTTTGAGGCAAGAATAGACACTTGTTGTCCTCCATGAAATTCAAATCCTATTACATTTCCAACTGTTGAAGGTGGATCAGAAAATTCAGCAAATAACTCATGTAAAGAAACTGTCTGTTTATTTGTATCAATAGTAACTTTATACGATGCAGTTTTCATTGGCACAGCAACTTTTGCAACTAACTGAAGAGGTAATGCAACTATACTTTCAGTTATTCTTGGAGCTCCACTACTGTTTGTATAAACAGCTAAGGCATGTAATTTCAGACTGGACGGAATAAATGGTGCTTTCATTTGGATAGACACCATCACTTGTGAATACTCAGATATAGTGCTAAATGTAAATTCACTCTGAGATAAAACTAATGGTTGTTGAATATTTACAATCAGTCTTACATCTTGAACAGGTATAGTTGTTTTCAATTGTATTTTAGCAGTAATGGACGGAACTGGTTCCCCATCATCAGATAATACAAAACTTTCATTAGGTGTAACTGTATCTAAATGTGGTGGAATAACAATAACAATTGACAATTCACTTTCCATCCTTTTATTTCCTGGCAGAGCATTATTTGTTGCTTTTATAATTTTTCTTAATTCATGCATTTCCTGCTCAGCCTTCATGAAATCAATTTCTCTCGACTCCAAAACTGGAACAATGAACAATGACGGTTCAGTTCCCAAATAACAACAGGCAAGTTCCCCAGAATCAGATAAAATTATCATCATACCAGGTATGTTTGAAATAGTTCCTCTACAAATTGATACAGGATTAAAAGGCAATTGTGCAGCCCAACGAAGATTCATATCTTGATAAATCAATAAAGTAAACTGATATGTTGCAATCAACATCATTACAGTTGATTCAATAGCACCTTGATAAGCTAAAAGACAACATGGATTATAATCTAATTTTTTTATATATTTTAATACTCCATTTTGTTTGAAGGCAAATATACTTCTTTCACCCAAAACTAATATTATGGACGGAGCAGTCTTGAACTCGATAATGGCTATATCCAATGCAGCTTCACCGAGACTAAATGTCCAATCTGCCATAACTCTCTTTCCATAAGTAATATTCTCAGATTCTTCAGTCGCATCTTTCGCTACCGCTAATATTTGAAATCTGTAACTCTCCAGATTCCATCCGGCAGAGACCGTGACAAATGAATCTGTCTTTGACAGATACTTCAACGGTCCAGGTAAAAGAAATCCAGGTAGAAAACGACTAAATGCAAAACTCTCCTGTTCGAAAAAAGTAAGCGTACCATCAAGAGACTGAACACACATGAAATCCTTCCCCTTAACTTCTCCAAATGGACCAATAACCAAGCAATAAGCACTTCTTTGTAATTTATGTTCATATAGAAGGGACAAATGATAATACGTACCATGATCAACAGCACCAGGTGTTATGGTTACTGCATAAACAGATAATTTTCTAGGGTGCAATACGGCTAAATGAGTTTCTTCAGAGGCACTTGTAAAACGCCCAGCGGCTAGATCAATAATAGGAAAATTAAGCTGTCTCTCTAATAATAACTCATCCGGTTGAAAACAACTCAGCTTTCCATTCTCTTGTTTTTCTGGATGCGGTTGATAAACACGTAAAGTTCCATTGTGACTTCCCACAATAATTTTGTCATTTTGATCGTTATTATTATCGATATTAGCTACACATAAACAACCTTTATCGAAATCTTCGTTACCGCAATTAGTAGTCCACCAATCCCTCGCTTTAAATAAAGACATTAGCTTTTTCAAAATGTTTAAAAACGAAATGCAATGTAGACAAATAAAGAAATATACAAATCATCCATTAACAAAATATCGATTCGACCGTCTCATAAGGAAATTGTCAGGTTATGACGTAAAATAAGCAAAGTCCCGAAGAAAAATCGCCAACGCCATCTATCAGCAGAATTGTTATCATTAACAAAGCGCGTTGAATACGAAAAATGCGAGTAAACAAATCAATTAGTTTTTATGATAGTTTTTGATAATCGAATACTACTTATTTGAAAGTAATTTATTTGCTTATCTAAAAATGCAACGTATTCTTGGTTTTCAGTTATTCTTATCATTTCAAAAAGTGTTTTCTTTTCTTTTTTTTAATCGTTCTGCAAAAACATCGAGATTGTTCGCATTTGTAATAAGAAACACTTTTTTGGTTCTCCAAATTTTAAAAGCATTTGAGTCAATAAATTTTAAATTATCAATTGCCATTGAATTTTTTTCTTTTTTTTTTTGCAACGAAATAAGCTATTTTATTCCTACCGTTGTCCTTGAAACTACCACTGCAGGTGAAACTATAAATTCGTCAAGATCTATTGCACGATGTTTTCTAATTTTTTTTTGAATACTGTAATAGCAAAAACATACCAAACTCGGTACAGTGAAAACTGCTTAGGCGACCACCTGCATTCGACGGGCACCTGCCAAAACGGGCAAAAATTTCTGGCACCGAATAGTTTATCCATAGAGTCTTCGTATAAGTTACCTGTATTAAACGACCACCTGTGTAACGCGACCGCGGGCATCGATTTTTGGTCCGAAACAACATACAACACCTGTAATAAGCGACCACTTTCGCGAATGTATCTGGTCTAAACTATTGTAAGAACCCATCTCAACAACGTTTCCACCTCCTAATATAATGAATTAGTCTAAACTCTCGTTCGAACCCATCCCGGGCACTTCTCCCACCCTTGAAATTAGGTGCAGGTGTTAATAAATTAGTCTAGCAACAAAGGAAATTCATTTCAGTTTGTTGGAAAATGTCCGAAATGCAAAGTGCTGTCGTTAGAAGATCGTATTAAAGTTATCACAACAGCAATTAGCGGCGAAGTTTAACTGTGGGAAAACAAAATTTATTTTACCCTAGACCTACAGTATTTTCCTTGGGGGTGTAAAATATTGTACACGATACAATTAATCGGCTGATCTCATCGTTTGATAAAATCTATTTTTATTTATTTATTTTGAAGCTCATATACAGTACACGTGCGATAAATAGTTTCTGTATCAACCTACCTTATTTCCACGATATTTTTAGAAAAATAATATCCAAGTAATTTTCGCAGGCAAAATATTCAAAAAACAATAAACGCATTAATGCAAAAATCAGTTTTACAGGCAACCTTCCTTTTTCGATTCCGGAAAATCGCGAAATGTAATGAAATCGTATTATGAGTAAAAATAATAAAATCGTTTTATTATTAATAAATAATTTTTCTTATTGTACTTAAGAAAATATTAAATATTAAAAAATACAATATTTTTAAAGTTAAAATAAGATTAAACTAACGAATAACAAAACCAAAGTGATGTAGAGATACGACACGCTTTGTATATCGATGACGTAATACACGTAACTGAGGAGCGAACGAAAACAACCGAGTTGAATTAGGTCGGAAAAAAGAAAGTGTGCATTATAATCGAGAAAATGCGACTATTGTATTAATCTTTAAAATGTTGGTATTAAATCTGTCTTATAAAATCACGACGACTCCTGTAAATCGAGTTATCCGATAAGAATAAAATACAATACAGTACCAATATAGCCCTATCGTTGAAAAACTTCGCTTATTTTTGCTCACCTCGAGTTTTTAGTAGTAGAAATGGCTAAAAAGTGCGCAAAATACGTACGGAAATACGGTATTACAGCACCACCTGTCTAAAAGACCACTTTTTGAAGGAACCGTGGGTGGTTGCCATAGACAGGTTTACTGTATATGTTATATAGAGAGTACAGCTCTAGGCAATGTGAATATATTCGTTTAAATTAATAGGTTTCGTATTTTTGGCTACGGCAACGCAATACATAGACATTCTGCTGAGCGGGGTTACCTCCTGAGGGGACTTTTATTTAAAAAAACTGGTCTCTATTTAGGTATTTCTAACGTAGAGAAAACACGAAAAACTCCACGTGGCCAGTTCGTTGACGAGGCGCAATCCCTCGACCAGCTACCAGTGTTTGGTGGTTTTATCCATTCGGTCACTGCTGGGCCTTAAATTAATAAAAGCTAATTCTGAAAGTATAGAGCATATCGCATGCGATACACAAAATATTTTGGTGTGAAATGGTCTTTATAGGTAAATATCATTTTGATATCTAAATTTATCGAAGTTTCTGTTTTCTAAGAAATTTCTTTAGATTTAGATATTAATAGATTAGTTAAAAAGTATTTTTCACAGTAAAATTCAATGGTCGGAGTCGAAAGAATTTTACTGACTGACTCCACAACACTGGTTACAATAACGAGTATAAGCGGTGCCATATCGAAATGAGTTTTCGGGAATATTTTACTTTAAATCCGTTTTCTGCTTGAAGAAATTTGATTAAGTGAAAACATCTGCCAAATTTTTAAATTTTAGTGTTTATTAAATTTTAATTTTCTGTACCATCCGCTTAATTGAACATTTGTTATCAACCAATGACAACTTCCAGCAAGAGGCTAGATAAGAGCAAAATTCTTTTAAATAAAAAATACGTGAAATTTCTCTAATTATCATATTTATTTTTTATTTATTCGCAGCAATATAAATTAAAATAAATAAATAAATTAACATTATTAAAATGAAAATTACAAGCGTCAATTCTAGCAGACGAACTTCGACCATTACAAACGCCGCCGTCTTAGAATGTGAAGTTTGCTACAGAAGTAAGTATTAAGAACTACATTATACTGGCGTATTATTAATTAATTAACATTAAATTAATCAAATTTAAAGCAAAATAAAAATGATTATAATGTAATTAGGCGAATTTCCTAATAATTATGCGATTTATGAAGATGACGATTTAGGCCTAACAAAATATGTAAAATTTTTAGGTTTAGGCTACAAAACATGTAATTTATCAGATTCTTCGATTTTCTTTTACTAAGTTATAAATGTTTTATAGTTTAATCATAAATAAAAGTTATGGTTTAAGTTATAATACCAATAAATACTCTAATTTCCTTTAATAGCATTTTATTACTAATTTTTATGAAAATGTATGAAACATGGCACCGTAGTTATGGTATTATGTATGTAATACTAATGTATGCTTGCTTTATGCTTGGCACCCATGTTACAATTTGAAAGACCAAACTACTAAATTCAAAAAACCGAAGTTTTTACTTATTCAGAGGTATTTCTGACTATTCTATGGCCATTCTCAGCTTGCAAACAACACAAATTTCTAAAAGATGCTGCAAAACTGGATGAGATATATTAAAAGCACGAAATAACGCCTGTATTCCAGTTAATATGATCCACTTTATTATAAGAACAAACGTATTCAACAGTCTTCAACAGCTATCTTCAAGTTATGGAATGTTACATAAAACAAAATTTTAAAAAATTTGTATAAAATAGAACTCGTTAAATTCATCTTGGAGGTCACATACGTAAAAGAATGTTGAAGGAAACTAAAATGAAATGAAAATAAAATACAGAACAATATAACGGGAGTTAAATAAACTACATAGCCTATGTACAAAAGATGGGGACAGTTCAATACGTACTCTAATAACACCATGGAAAGAAGTCTCAAGATTTCAAATCTGGAGAATATGCAAGAAGTCCAGTCTCACACAACGCAAATTTTATTCAAACATATTATAATATGCTGGTCTGAATGCAATTCATTTAAGATTTATATGCTTCCATGTTCTAATAAAGCATTAAACCTGGTAGCCTCAGGTCTACAAATTTAATGCTTAAAGATGATGCTTCTTTAATCAGACTTGTAAAGTTAAAACTTTTTGCATTTGTTTCTTAGATTTTTTAGAACTTATTTAACTTGTTAATTGTCGGGATATTATTATTATTAAGCGTAATTTTTTCCTCTTTTTAGATAGAGATGGATACGAACAATGTATACATAAATTTCTTCGAATTTCTTAATGATTATAAAACCAGTAATAAAAGGAAACGTTTAAAAATAAATAATACCATTGTGTTGCTAGAAAATGGATATCTGAAAGCAAGAAAGTCTATAAAAACATTAATAAATGCTATTAAAGAGGAGCTCACCAGTGAATTGGATGTCGCTTATCAAACAAAACTTCAAATACTGCTTGATTTCCAGAAAGAAGTCGAAGAATACGTTTATTCAAACTTGTTAAATGTCTTCAATGATTTCCATTGTTTGCGCGATATCGTCAGGATTATAGAGAATAGTTCCAACAAAGTTTGCATTCTACCTTATATTTCTCTGGATTTTATACCAGAAGATATTTCGATAGCCAAATCGGCAATCGGTTATTTTAAAACGTGTGCAGTTTTGCCAGAGGAACTGACTCTTACCTTATTCGAATTGGATGATAAGTATTGGTTAGAAGTGAGAAGTAGCAAGCCTTGGCACTCTCTTTTAATATATTCTCTAACTACTTTCGCAGAAAATTTTGCAGGTAGAAAGTTTTATGGGAATGTCATTGATAAAAAGAATGGTTTTTATTCAATTACTTTTCAAAACAATTTCGGTATTGATTTTAAAGTCTCTGTTTTGTTGTGTGCTCGTCATGTAAGAAACAGTCCATTGACAATAAAAAATCCTCTGCTTAGAAGTCCCAAATATGGATCTTACTGTTTAGATACGTCAGCATCTAAAACAGTCGAAATGCCGAATAAGAATGAAACTATTCCTAAGCTTTTTATCCAAGGCGGCATTTGTAGCTCATTCTGCACAGAAAATGACGAGAAGAAAAGCTTTAAAGTTACTGGAATGGGACGCGGTCTCGTAGCAAAGGAAGAAGTTCCGAAAAAATTTCTAGCTACCAGAGGAAAAGTCTATTCTTCCGGAGAGTGCACTGGAAAGGTAAAGGTTTCTCTAACTGAGGGGTTGAACGTCGGTTCTGTTATAAATGGTAAAGATTGGTTTTCACCCGTAGAAAGGATAAACAGTAACAGTGATATAAAAGCAGAGGGATTAATAAACATGCCTACTGCTAATAAACTTTCACCATTTGTTCAGAATAAAAGTAATGGAACTGATGGGACTGACTGGTATAAAAGTAATGAAACTGAGAGATCTGAATGGGACAAAAGTACAAGTGCTAACAGAAAGGATAAATCGAAGATCAGTACTACTGCAGATAATGTGTTCTGGTCTTCACAAACAGTTGAGAATTTAGATGGCTCGACGAGAGATAATAGCCCTTATGCTCGTAAAAGCTTGAATAATACTGATGATGATGATGATGAAGGTAAGAATGCATACACATCCAAAATTTATTTTATATTTGTTTATCATGCTTATTTAATCTTTTCTATTTTAAAATATTCAGAGAATTTTGCTGCAGTCACTGCCAAACTCACACATGTGATTTCTTCGCAATGCGGAGTGGATCTTAAATATCCTGTCGGCGTCGTCGTGAGTGATAATAAAGACATAGTTATATGCGACACGGGAAATCATAGAGTTTGGATCCTCGACGAAACTGGAAAGAGAAAGGCACTATTTAATACCACAGATCAAGGTAGGCCTAAGTCAAGGTCTTAGATTTATAAATCTAAGACCTTGGGCCTAAGTAGGTTAGAAAAAGAATTGAATGTTAAAGTTTAAAAGATTTAAATTACGCAATTGAACTTTCAGGTAAGAGACTATGCAGGCCTTCGGCAGCCGTTATGCTTCAAAATGGAATTTTAGTTATCAAAGATGATAATTCGCTTCACTTTTACGATTCTAATGGGACATTTATCAAAAGTACTGGCAATGAAATATTAAACAAGTCTTTCGGTATGTATATACACTTATAATTATAGTATGAAACAAGTGATTCTATAATATAATTAGTTGAAAATGTTTTAAGGATTGGTGCTGACGGAAAATGAAAAGTTGGTGACTTTAAGCGAGAGTAGGTCGCCGAAGTTGTTTGTGTTTAACAAAGACGCTCAGCTGGAACATATTTGCCTTTATCAGCCAATATTGGACAGGCCAGAAAATTCGAAATGTCGTTTCATGGCCACCTACAATAACGAGTTGGTCGTATCCGATTTAGGTGAGTTTAAGATTATTTTTATTTTCTAATAAGTAGATTAATCATATTTCCATTGTGTTAGGATTAAGCAAGATGTACAAGACTAATTTATTGGGTGAACAAATCCATGTTTTTGGCTCTTATGGCAAAACTCCCGGAAATTTCAATGAACCGTCGGGAATCACATTAGATTCCAGTGATACTATGCTGATAGGAGATAGCAAGAATGATAGAATTCAGGTTAGTATTCAGTCTCTTTAATATGTGAAATCTATTTTTACATCTCAGCTGCTTTGTCGTCAACTTTAGTCAACAATTGGTGTATTAGTGTTCATATAGTGAGTGGAAAGTGTTGGCCAGATGGTCTTACAGTAAGATGTTAAGTCCGCTGTTATGGGATTTTGATTTGAATATTTATCCAAACTTCCATGACTTGGGGACTGTCCATTAATTACTCATACACGTTTTGATCACTCTTCTTGTTGTGTACGATAGTTTGTGAACCCTGACATTGAACAAATGACTTTAAAAGTTCCGCAAATGTTTTTTTTTTTTTTTTAACTGATAGAGTTTATTCGCATTACTAGTAAAAGCAAGTAAGTAGGTATTGACACTGCTAAAGAAAGTATATGTAGAAATGCATCGACATCCCTATGATATACTTTGCACAATCCCATCCGTTTAAACTACTGTATAACTGCCTACGTAATTGCACCTTAAAGGCAATTCAGATCAGGTCATCGTTTCTCTGACTCGTGCTAGCTGACTCTATTTGCGGCATTGGTTGACATTGCTTGGACTATGATGATCTAGTGCTTTTGGTTTTATTTCTTTGTAGTCTTACATGCCAGCGAACCATATAATTTGCTTTCCGTCACCGAAAAACAATAGTATCAAAGGGAACAAGTGAATCATATATTGCCTTTAGGCCTATACATTCAGTAATCTAGCAGTCGCGCTAATCTGGCACCCATTTATACAAAGAATGGCCGGATTAGAGAGCATCTACTGTAATAAAAATTTTTGATAATCGTCGAAAAATTAAAAATACTGTACCTTCGTTTTACAGATCTTCAGTTGGAACGGAGAATATTTGGGCAGAGTGCTGTTTTCGGATCCCATTCGTAGGCCTTCGGATATTACATTAACTTTCGACGGTTACCTGTACGTTCTTAATTACCTAGACCATTTTCTAGGTATTTATAAATTAGAGAATGACAAATAATATGACTCCATACAACACAATAGTTTAAGTTATATAAAGTTCATTCTCTTCATTATTTAATGTTTAAATAATAAATAATGTTTGTTTAATGTAAAATATATTTATATTGTTCCTATTCCTGTTTGTAAGAAAATGGATAATTTAATTTATGTAAATAACATATATTTTATAATAATTAAATTATTGTCAACATTGTGTTTGAAAAATTTCAGTTTGTGTTTATTGTATTTGACGTTTTTGGCTGTTTTAAGTGTGTAATTGGTGTAACAAAACTAAAAAAAAACAAATTAAATACTTCGATGTAAAATTTTATCTAAATATATAAAATTACTTGTCCTGACTGATTGATTGACTGACTGACTGACTGAATGACTGATTCATCATCGCCCAGAGCAAACCGCTGAACCTAAAGAGATGAAATTTGGTACACAGTTAGGGTACGTCATGAAAACGCGCACTAAGAAGGGATTTTTCGAAATTCCTAGGCGGAGGGGAGAGGGAAAGGATTAAGGCTTAACCAGAAGAACGGCTTCTCCTGTACTATATTAGATGCGATTTTTTTGTTTTTAATTACGTTTAGTCTTCATTGAGTACTTAGGTGTATTAAATTGATAACATTTCAGACGTTGTCATAAATATTTTGATATATTTCGATTTTTTAACCAAATGTTCGAACCGTTTTAAATTCGAATTTGTTATTGCATATTAGTTCGATTATAGAACGATTGTAAACGTTCCAGAAAATTGATCAAATTGAAAACATTTCGTTTGATTCTCGGCAATTCTCATCATTCTCAGCGGTAGGTGTTATATAACAATTACTATAGTTGTTGAAATATAGTCGACCCCCCTATAACACGGGTTCCTATAGTTCGGATTCCTATATCACGGCGAAAAAATTGCGACAGTATTCGTACATACATGCTAAAAATAACTCCTAAAATTCGGTAAAACGTTATCGCCGACTTGCGTCGCGACAGGATTGCACAAACCGTTGAGTTTAAACGAGCAGCGGACCTATCAAAAACCATTTATTATTTAACGTCAATAAAAATTATATTTATATTAATGAAGTCTCTAAAGTTCGGCGAATTTTTCGCAAAAAAAATTAATTTATCAGGAAGCACGCGAGCGCCATTCGATGACAATCTCCACGACGAAAACAAGCTTAAGAACGGCGTAGTCGAACGGTGCACACTCGGTAAGTAATTCTACAATTTTTTGTTTATAGCATAGTTTATATGGATTATTCCCAAAAAATTATACGTATTTTGGAAATGTCGAGTCGAATTATTCTAGAATCGATTAATTTTTATGGAAGAAACCTTTCAAACAGCCGTAGTCTATAAACTTCACATGTGCCGGGCTATGATTGGCTGGATTCCTAGAAGCTGGATTCATGAAAACAGGAACGTATCTACCGTGTTATAGAGGGGTCGACTGTACTGAATATAAATAGGGTTTGCTTGCAAAATCCTGGCGGGCAAAGCCGCGGGTAACAGCTAGTGTATAAATAAATTTATTGGTTTGAAATTTTGAAAAAGTGCTTCTAAAAAAACATTAATAAAATCGAAAAGTTCTCGCGCGTTTATCCAAAATTCGAAAAAAAAGCAGACGCGTAATCAATTGCACATGCGAAAATTAAATTAAACAACTTTTCAAAATTTCGAATGATAATTTGTGGTTAATTGCAATAGAATGCGTAACAATGAATTTTTTACTTTCTTGGCTTTTATATATAACAGTGGGAAAGTAAGGCGATTGGTCAAAAAATGACCACCCAGTATTTTTACATTTTTGGATTCATGACATCTTGAAATGCAAAACATTCGGAAGTTTTTTCTGTATATATGAATATGTCTGTGTGTGGCGCGACTTTGTTCACTTTGTTAGAAGTTTAATAACTACCGTGCTTTTTGTCGAAAAATTTTTGAAATTTTGCAAGGAAGTTTGTTTATTAGGGGGATTGATGCTATTAAATTTTGATGCTTAAAGGTCGAGGGGCGGGGAAATAATTGGGTCGGGTGTATCTCGAGTAGGGTCGGACTTAATGATGATTTTACTTATTATTAGCATTTAAAATTTTTATCAAACTCATCCCTACCCTCAAAATAAGTTTTTTGCCATTTTATAATAGTTAAAAATATTAAAAAATTTTAAAAATAAAATATAACAACAAATGAAGAAACCAAAATTTTAAATGTTACTAGTGATAGTTGAGCAACTCGTTGCTGATTTATTCTTTTTAGGCCTACGCAGATTCGGTCGTGTATCATCTACGAAATGGTAAGTTCTACAAAACTAGTTTTATGTCTAGTCTGTGATAATGAAAGCCGGATGGCTGAGCGGTTAAAAAATGTCTGTGATGATGAAAGAAGACAACAAGAATAATTTATTTGTATTAGTTTTGTACTTTGAGCTAGATTCAATCCAAAAAATCCGACTTTGCATCTGAAAAATTCTAGCAAATTCGGGTCGAGCTAATGACGAGAATTTATAAACCAGAATCTTTCTTTATCCAGAATTGTTATGGTAATATTAGACTTATTCCGAACAACGAAGAAATGCATCCCGTATTTAGTTATTACAGTAGTATAAAACACAGAGGATTCCTTATTCCTTTTCAGAATATTCCTTTGAAAATAATCATCCTTGATGAAGTTTCTCTGTTAAACTGATATTGACTATATAACGGCTAATGATGGATCCTTATAATTAAATTAGTATTATATAATTCATTATTGTTAACGATATTTTGGCATTATTTTTTACGTAATTAGAATCTGAGACAGACTTTCCATCCTTTAACTCGTTTATTATATCACATAAAGTTTCTTACAACGTTTTTGCAAAGTTTCGTCGTAACACAGTTCGGGTAGCGAGTTAAAAGTCCATACAAGAGTACGAAGTTCTTCCTTCTGTCCCTCGATGACAGATGTTGCGATCGACGGCCTCGGGGCGTGCGACAGCTTCGGGCGAAAGTCTCGGGAGAAGGGTGAATCTGGGCGAAGCAAGACGTCACGGAAGAGCGACGGTAAGTCCCAGGAGTCGACAAATCTGTCGCTGCTGATCTGCAGGATCGCAAAAATCCTGAAGTGGCGCACCAAGAACGTCACATCCTTGAATCGCGAGGTTTTATAAGTTTTGCACCCAAAGTTGTCTTTTCATTGGTCTTTCATCGTCACCTGGTAACAACTCGAAACCTGTTGGAGGATCAACGCAGTAGCGTAGCGTAGTGGGGGCGGGACGGCAAAATTTCACAATAAATAATAATATCTTGCAAGAATTCGAACCATTTTATTCCATATTTTATCCACCTACGACTCGGACCGATTGAAATGAGCACGGAATAGTGTTACCATCCATCCGGATAGTCCGGGAATCGACTCGCCGTCCGGGGATATCGTGCGCAACCTGTTGACCTTTTTTTTCTTTGCTTGTACGATTTATTCGTATATATATACACCTCCAACATCCAATACAGCTAGGTCACTTGCGTTACTCCTATCCAAGTCTCCCTAGTCGCTAACTGTAACTGATTTAAAACCAGCATAATTTATTGGGTGAACAAATCCATGTTTTTGGCTCTTATGGCAAAACTCCCGGAAATTTCAAGACGGTTCATTGAAATTTCCGGGATAAACTTCAAGATATGCAAACCGAACAACGCCTAAAAAAGTAACTCGGGAAGTAGTAAATTGCTGAAACATTTATTTAAATATGATAAGATTATTAAAATTAAAAAATCATACAGGAGTAGCTCTTATTTCATTACCAGAATATTCCTCGCTACTGACGGTCGAAGAAATTGTAGTTTTATAAGAAAGTTTTAACTTTTTGAACAAGCAACTAACAGCGTCTCGGTATGGTACATATCCACAATTTTTTTGCCTTTTTTGGGTTCGCCGGTTCAGGTCTCAAAACGTGGAGATTTGTAAAAAACTCGGAGAGTCAAGTTTGACACAATTCCAATACTTTCCTTTGTTACGTATACATAGCAGCTGGGAAAGTAACCAATAAGTATTGAAATTAATATTATTTTTTAAAGTAATTTAATTGCTTTAGTTGAAAAGAAATAAATTAAAAATACAGGTATCCCTCGTACAGTACAACACGACCACCCGGTCGCCCCATTGTGGACCTGGCCGAACCCATGGGCCTGCTATAAGAGGCCCTCTTAGTGCCCACAGGGCGGAGAGTAAAAAAAAGTACAACATGACTTCCAGTTTCGTTCTAACATGGTTTTGCAAATCCTCCGTACAAAATTTCCCAATTTTTAAGTGTAAACTTCGTTATTCGATTTTTTTTTTATTCGAGTAGGCGCACATGTCCTCCCTGTCAAACTTGTCTATGGAGTTTAGAATACAGAATACAGTATTGAAATTTTCAAATTATTTTGTGCTTTTCGTCAGGTTTAGTTTATAAAGTTTAATAGCACTTGTCAAGAGAGTGATCTTAGCTAAGAGAGTCTATTTCAAATGTAATTTGAAATAGACTCTCTTAGCTAAGATTTAACTAAATTTACTGACTTACTCCACTTCCTTATCTTCCAGTAAACAAAATCTTTTCACTCTAACAACTATCTTCAATTTTCTCCTCACTATTCTTATTATTTATCTAACACAGAAAAATAGCTATAATTTGAATTAAAATCCACACTTTTTAGATAAACTACTCAAACTGTGTATATGTAAATAAGCATTACAGAAGTAATGTTTTGTAGTTTCTTGCTGGATATTGTGTGTGTGTAATGCTTATTTTCATTCAATTAAAATCAGTAGAGTTGTAGTTTTTGAATAAAAATAATGAGAATTTTAAAACATTTTATTTTAAATTCTTGAAATATTACAATATATTTGCATTATTATGCAATACTACTGGCATTTGATGCAATTCTGGGCCATAAATCAGCACATTCCTTTGCAACAGGACCAGTAATAGCAGAACCTATAAAGAAAAAAATTTAGTATTCATATTATTATTAATTGACAATTTAAAGGTTCCTTTATTTTAAAATATTCATATTAGTAACTATTGAAGCAATAATTTAAATTTCTGTATCTTTCAATAGCAACTGGAGATTTTCCAAATTTATCATGTTAAATCAAGGTTTAGAATTATTTCTATATACTATATATTCATTTATTACATAATTCTAGCAATTTCACTTAACTGTGTGTGTATATATACCATACATATACTGTAATTACACATAGCACAATTAAATCTATAAACCTTGATTTAACCTGAAAAATTTGGAAAATCCTCAATTGTCATTGAAAGATGCAATAATTCAATTTTTTTTTTAAATTTGAAATAAAATTTAATAAATAAATAAATAATAATTCTAGTAAAAATTATTAATTTTAATAAAAATGTCTCACAGCCAATCTGGTCAAAGTTTTATGTATAGCATATGAACCATGTTCTGCCAATTATAAGTGTGTAATTTAACACTCCAGCAAACTGGAACTGCTGCCATTATTTTTCTCTCACTTTGAAGATTTAATAAACAATTTCAAGTATTTATAGCACATTTTAATTTAAAAGTTTGCCATAATCTTCATATTTTTTGATAGTAAAAAAAGGAGGGAGAAAAGTCTTGGAGGAATATGAGTACTAAGCCACAATATAGATCATGTTCCTCACGTTTCTATCAAATTTTTATTATAAAACAAATACATTCAGTCTTCTTTAGATCATTTAAAATGCTGTCTTTTATTTTCCAGTTTTTTTACATTCAATAACCTGAGGCAGACCAGTAAAGGCCAAAAAATGTTTGTTTTATAATAAAAATTTGTTAGAAAAAATGAGAAAGGTGATCTATTGTTGCTTAGTAGTAGTTATCTATTTATTAAATACTTTCCTAATTAGTTTTTTGTTTATACTTGTTTCAGACAAAAACAATTTCTATTCCAAATGATAATTGCAGTGCAGTTATATTTTATCATCTTTTATTATTAATTTGAGTTTGGTTTTGTGTAACTTTTTGTGTGTGTGTTCTTTTATTCATATTTAAATTTGTTATATTCGAAATTCCATTAGAATGTTATATTCTAACAATAGAATGTAATTTTAATGCTTGAAGATGGCTTGTAAAGCAAGCTGAAAATGTTTATGGTTATTAATTAATTAAATGTTTTCCTTGTCAAAATAAGGTGTTTTATGTGATTTACATTACTTCTGAGGGTGTGTGGTTGAGAAGTTATATTTTACCTTTAAAATTTAGTTTCTTAATTCTTTAATTAAAATTTTTACATTATATAAATTTCTCCATAAATATCCATTTCATGCATAGCCAATCAATGCCATTACTTTTAAATAATTATTTATTTTATTAACACATTCTGATTCCAAATATCATTATAAATATATACAGGGTTCCTATTCAAATTTTTGTTTTAAAATCCATGATTTCCGTTGACCAACTTTGTACAAATTCCCTGACCCACAACATTCCTTACAGTATGTTTTACTGTAAGGAATGTTGTGAATGTTGGAACCTCCCTGTTTTACTTTGTCAATGTACAGTATAGCACACTGACAAAGTAAAACAGCATTTGACTTATAATGCACATATGCTTTTGCTTCTTCAACTTTTTCATTAATTAGAAAAAAAAAACTAACAGTTACATTTTTTTATAACTGCTAAATCATTAAAATCAAAACTAAAATGTTTAATTAAATAAGTTTATCCTGTTATTAATCCATAACCATAAGGTTGTGGATTAATAACAGGATAAACTTATTTAATTAAACATTTTAGTTTCTTTTTTCTTTAAATAAATAAATAAAAAAAGGCGTCATTATTTATTTTTCATTAACAAATCCTGTAGAATCCATGTACAAAAGTATACATTTATTAAATTTATCCCTTAATATTTCTACTTTATAAAATATTAATAAACTGGAAAAAATCAGAAATTGCCTGCAATCTGAATTTTTAAAATGAAAAATAAGTACAAAAAATTATAAATTTAATTTAAATGGTATTATCATTTTTTATTAGTTCATTAACACTTGCCTTCAAATTGAGAGTTTAAACAGTAATTGGAAAGGATTTGGAGAGTTAAAATATTAAAAAACAACCAATTAAAAGGGGTAAAACTAATAAAATTGTAAAAGTTAAAATTTAAAACTTGCTAAAAAAAAAATGTAGGGAAAGAAACCACAAAACCATAAGAAGAACAAAACCAACTAAAAACTGCAAAAGTTAAAATTAGCTAATTTGATACGGTTTTACAAAGTTTAAAGAATTGCATAACTTGGTCTTTGGGTATAGTAACAAAAAATAAATAAAAATGATGTTGATGAATAGTACTTATGTATTCTTTACATTTTTACTCGTATTATACACCCCCACACATTAAGTTATTTCACTGTNTCTCACAGCCAATCTGGTCAAAGTTTTATGTATAGCATATGAACCATGTTCTGCCAATTATAAGTGTGTAATTTAACACTCCAGCAAACTGGAACTGCTGCCATTATTTTTCTCTCACTTTGAAGATTTAATAAACAATTTCAAGTATTTATAGCACATTTTAATTTAAAAGTTTGCCATAATCTTCATATTTTTTGATAGTAAAAAAAGGAGGGAGAAAAGTCTTGGAGGAATATGAGTACTAAGCCACAATATAGATCATGTTCCTCACGTTTCTATCAAATTTTTATTTAAAACAAATACATTCAGTCTTCTTTAGATCATTTAAAATGCTGTCTTTTATTTTCCAGTTTTTTTACATTCAATAACCTGAGGCAGACCAGTAAAGGCCAAAAAATGTTTGTTTTATAATAAAAATTTGTTAGAAAAAATGAGAAAGGTGATCTATTGTTGCTTAGTAGTAGTTATCTATTTATTAAATACTTTCCTAATTAGTTTTTTGTTTATACTTGTTTCAGACAAAAACAATTTCTATTCCAAATGATAATTGCAGTGCAGTTATATTTTATCATCTTTTATTATTAATTTGAGTTTGGTTTTGTGTAACTTTTTGTGTGTGTGTTCTTTTATTCATATTTAAATTTGTTATATTCGAAATTCCATTAGAATGTTATATTCTAACAATAGAATGTAATTTTAATGCTTGAAGATGGCTTGTAAAGCAAGCTGAAAATGTTTATGGTTATTAATTAATTAAATGTTTTCCTTGTCAAAATAAGGTGTTTTATGTGATTTACATTACTTCTGAGGGTGTGTGGTTGAGAAGTTATATTTTACCTTTAAAATTTAGTTTCTTAATTCTTTAATTAAAATTTTTACATTATATAAATTTCTCCATAAATATCCATTTCATGCATAGCCAATCAATGCCATTACTTTTAAATAATTATTTATTTTATTAACACATTCTGATTCCAAATATCATTATAAATATATACAGGGTTCCTATTCAAATTTTTGTTTTAAAATCCATGATTTCCGTTGACCAACTTTGTACAAATTCCCTGACCCACAACATTCCTTACAGTATGTTTTACTGTAAGGAATGTTGTGAATGTTGGAACCTCCCTGTTTTACTTTGTCAATGTACAGTATAGCACACTGACAAAGTAAAACAGCATTTGACTTATAATGCACATATGCTTTTGCTTCTTCAACTTTTTCATTAATTAGAAAAAAAAAACTAACAGTTACATTTTTTTATAACTGCTAAATCATTAAAATCAAAACTAAAATGTTTAATTAAATAAGTTTATCCTGTTATTAATCCATAACCATAAGGTTGTGGATTAATAACAGGATAAACTTATTTAATTAAACATTTTAGTTTCTTTTTTCTTTAAATAAATAAATAAAAAAAGGCGTCATTATTTATTTTTCATTAACAAATCCTGTAGAATCCATGTACAAAAGTATACATTTATTAAATTTATCCCTTAATATTTCTACTTTATAAAATATTAATAAACTGGAAAAAATCAGAAATTGCCTGCAATCTGAATTTTTAAAATGAAAAATAAGTACAAAAAATTATAAATTTAATTTAAATGGTATTATCATTTTTTATTAGTTCATTAACACTTGCCTTCAAATTGAGAGTTTAAACAGTAATTGGAAAGGATTTGGAGAGTTAAAATATTAAAAAACAACCAATTAAAAGGGGTAAAACTAATAAAATTGTAAAAGTTAAAATTTAAAACTTGCTAAAAAAAAAATGTAGGGAAAGAAACCACAAAACCATAAGAAGAACAAAACCAACTAAAAACTGCAAAAGTTAAAATTAGCTAATTTGATACGGTTTTACAAAGTTTAAAGAATTGCATAACTTGGTCTTTGGGTATAGTAACAAAAAATAAATAAAAATGATGTTGATGAATAGTACTTATGTATTCTTTACATTTTTACTCGTATTATACACCCCCACACATTAAGTTATTTCACTGTAATAATTTTAGTACTCTTCATCAACAACAATTTATCTTTATTTAAATTGTAAAAGAAAAATAATACAATTTTTGAAAAATTGAAACTATATGCCTTTAAGTATAAATACCCAATGGCATTCTACCTAATGTTTCTCAAACTTCACCTTCTGGTACTTAATAACCTTTATTAAAAGAAAACTTTTGACAGACTCCCTAGAGTAAAATTAAAAATATAAAATATTAATAAGTGTTTTTAAAATAATGTCTTGGTTTTAAACATTTTCATTTAATTTAAATGATTTCGTGTTTTTATAAAGATAAATATTACAAGATACTTTTTAAATTTGCACAATAGGCTTCTTTTTCTTCTATAAACTCAAGGATCCCTATTAACATATTTGCAGGCCCATAGGGATCTGTGGATCACACATTGTTGAGACATCTGTTATCCGAAATATTTCAAATATCTGGATATGAACATTTCTACAGTTACACCATGTACAGTTACACTATAGACCATGTGAAAATTTTCAGTGTTTTCAGATGATGCTTTCAATGAATACCAGATAAAGAAAACAGTTAAGTATCTCAGAATGAATAGATTGATGGGAGAAGTCAATATAATACTTGGACAATCTGCCAAGGAAAAATGCCTCCCAGTTTCTTTAGGAAACTGATCTTATTTTGGTCCATAAAGGAAAAAAAAAACTCCATATGGCCAGCCCATTGGTAAGATGCAAATCTGCAACCAACTTACAATGTTTTATCCACTCAGTCATTGATGGGCTAAGCACATAAGGAAGTCAGTATCAATTACCAGGGCCCAGACTCAGCTTGTGTTGTTTAAAATTTTAAGTAATTTCAAAAAGTTATAAATGTTTTTAATGAAATTATTTAATAGGAAAAAATTACATACATTCACAATTTAACTTTTTAACTACAATTTTTAAATTATTAACTTTAGTTAAAATAATTTAACTTAAATAATGTAAAGGAATGTTTTAGAAGTTAGATAAAACAGCCATAGTGGGAAAATAATTTCAATAATACAAACATTTTCTTGCCAAATCTGAAATTTTCCTTTTTAAAGCACTTTTTGGCATTCATTACTTGAAGTTCACCCTAAACTGAAATTTTTGAGCCTTATAAAAATTCATTCTAAAGCCATTGTCATCAATAAATTTTGTATTTTTGGATGTCAAAAGGTCCAATAATTTCTGTTTGCACTAAAAATAAAAATAATCATTTATGGTACTAACTTCAATTTTATTTCTATTAATCAACATATTGCATCAAATTTATAATTGCATATGCTATCCTTTGATAATAATGGCATTGCTTAAAATTAAAACATTCTTTTAATCTGAAATATTTTTTATGTTAGCTTATGAGTTTAGTGTTGCATTGCAAATTGTATGGTAGGTCTATTAAATTATATGTATGATTTAATTTGAATTTTTCAAACTATGTAATAATAATTATCGATTGTTTCATAAATAATGGTTTTATTATGCATGCAATCATTTTTGGGAAAGTTGTGTGCATGTTTGGGAGAAATTTTGGGTCCTAAAAATATTCTGCACCTATTTTGTAAGTTGCATTGCATCACATTACTTTTTGTTACTGCAGATAGCTACACTTAGTCAACCTTATTGCGAGGAAAAAAATCAACAAGGCATTCAAGGAAAAATTCCCTGACTTTTCAGGTGCATAGAATCCCTGTATATAGCTATAATGAAAATAAATATAGTTCATATTGCAACATAAAAGGAATTTAATACAAACTAAAAATGGATATACCGTATTTACTCGAATATAAGATGTTCTTACATATAGGACGAGGTGTGACTTTAGAGATCAAAATAAAGAAAATTAGATTTATTAATGCAATTCTAATTTTATTTCATTTAATCACAAATAAAATATTACCAAATGCCCATATTTGCTTTGATACATGATAAATGGAAAACAAAACCAAAACATTATAATGAGCATGACTGGAAAGAGTTTATTTTTAATAATTCAGAATGTGCTAATATTCATTAAAAATAACAATTTAACTTATACTAAAATAGTATAAATAGAAGTAGCGTTCTTTACAGTAAGCCTTAATCCTAACCATCTCCCCCACAGTGGGGGGAATTTCGACATGTATATTATATAAAAACACGTGTGTATTCAAATGCAGCAATGTGTCAAAATTTCAAAGGAATCGGTAAGAACAAACATTACATTTTTATTTATGTAGATAGATAGATAGATAGATAGATAGAAGATGATCTGCTTTAGTTCATCCTCACAGAAAAGCAAACTTAGGTCGTCCTACGCATAGCACCATCTGTTGGACATAAAAGCCTTAACCTTAGATGATATCTTTTAATTTATATAAATGTTTACCGGAATAATATACAGCCTATGTCCACCTCGAAGTTCCATTCTAAATATTGGTGAAAGAATTTTTGAAATCGGATGAGTAGTTTCGGAGATTACCCACTACATCCAAACTTACTTACAAATATAACTTTATAATATTAGTATTGATAGACTGTAGACCTATAATGACAGTATGACGTATACACAGTTCACAGAAATTATTGCAAAATGCAAAGAATCCTTCGCTCACACATATAGGATGACATAGGTTTTTGAAGTAGTGAAAAATGAATAAAAACCTCATTTTCTATACGAGTAAATATGGTATTAGTGCATGATTGTGTCAAACACATATATTCATAATTGTTTAAAATTATTGTTAGTAACAATAAAAAAATTTGTTACCTTTCATTTCACCTTTATTGTTTACTATTACGCCAGCATTATCTTCAAAATAGAGAAAAACACCATCCTTCCTGCGATATGGCTTTCTCTGTCTAATCACTACTGCTGGCATAACTGAAATTAGAAAACTAATTGTTATTGCAAAAAAATAAAATTTAAGCACATCAACTTTCAAATACAATTTTGTTTCCTTCAATCAAATTATTCTATCGAAAATTGATATTTATCATAATTTTCTATATAAAAATATATTCAAAAATATTAAATATCTTGCTTTAGATATTATCTTTTCTACAATTAAGATTTATAAAATCATTAGAATTAATGGTACAATTACTTTTCAATAAAGAATTGTAAAGAACTTGAGTTTCTATAAGAGTGGTAAAATTTGAATAATGCAAGTGTTTTTGGCCTGGTTGAGACCAAAAATGCTTTGTTATTCAAATCTCACCACTTTTAAATGTGCATTAATTAAGAAAAGTCTGTTGAACATATAAAAATCATCTATTTAATCTACTAAAAGAAGTCTAATAAATTTTTTACAAAATTTCTCATTGTACTTTAAAAAATTCAAGAATGAAAATTATTAATAAAAAATGTTTTTATAAGTTAGTTTTTGTAATTTGCATGAATAGAATCTTAAATTATAAAATGCCCTGAATGAGTATACCATGCTACCATTGATTCTAATGCACACCTGTTTTTGGACTTCTGGTCTCCAAAACTGAGGTGCACATAAGAAATTGGCACAAAGTCAATATAGCCTTTTTTGCACTGCTTGCTCATCTGTTAGGCAGATTTACTTATTTATATTAGTTTGTCAGTATAGATGTGGTATATATTATTCAGATATTTTAATTTCTATTTTTACGTTTAATGTTATTTCTACAAACATTTTAATTCTTCAGCTTTTACAAAAAACTTTATGAACAAAAAAAAACAGGTAAGTGCAACTATGCAGACAATACTTAATAAATATTTTAATTGATTTTTAAAATTTATTTAATTTTTCCTTTTCTGGGTTACTTATGAACAATTTGATATAAATCATATTACATCAATATCCACAGAGTAAAAATTGTAATATGATTAATATCACAGAATACATGACTGATGATATAGTAACAGAACCTGTTCTGTTGTATCATAATCTGCTCATACTAAGATTGACTGCTTAAATATATCTCCTGAATGAAGTAAGTGTAGCTGGCCATCCATTTCATACTTATAAAATTTAATAATGAATTTTTGAAATATGCTTTATGTAATTTTTAAATTCAGGAAAACTAAAAGAAATTTATTTCTAAATAGAAAAATTATATACACAACTTCTCAACAAAACTTTAAATTATTTAAGAAGCTTGTTTAAGCTTCATAATCAATCATACACATTAATTTAAACAACTAGGAAAAGTTAAAGAATTTGGATTTCAAATATACTTTCTACAGCAAAACATCTTAAGTTAATAATCACAGTACTTCACTAATAAAAAAATATAACCAGAAAAGCATTCTCTGTATAAAAATTAGTTTTCAAACATTAAAGAAATGGATAACACATGAAGTCAGAATATTACATATCAGACAAAACTAAAGTCCTGGATACATATACAGCCATGTCTATATATATAAAGTCCTGTACTTTCAGCTGTGTATTATATGGCTGTGAAACATGGTGATACATAAAGGAAAAGACCTTTAGCCTTTGAAAGAAAATGCTACAGAAAGATACTGAGAAACTGGTGAGACAAAGTAAAAAAAATCCAACAATGAGTTTTGTAAGTTTCCTGGCTGTTATGAGTTTTTATTTAAAAAATAACTCATGTTATTAAGCAAACTAAATAAACTGCGTGGCACCATCTATTAACAGATTTTGTTCTAAAAACTTTCTATATTTTTAATTACTATAAAATGGCAAAAGGCCCAATTTTGAGGGTAGGAACAAGTTTTTATGAAAAAGTGTAAATGTTACTAGCAAATAAAATCTTCATTAACTCCTACGACTGTTGAGATTTGACACACAACCCTTATCTATCTCTCCAACTCCCTGGATCTTTCACTACCAAAATTTAATAGTATCAATGCCCTCATATACAAGCCACCATGTCAAATTTCATTTCTTAATGTTTACCCCATCCTGAGATATTAAGCAAAATAGATGCCAACACAAATACAGGTATACCTTGAGTTACATCGTTCTCAATTATACGTCATTTGTCAAAAAATATATGGAATAATAAAAATCAAGTTTAAGTCATTTTATTCAACTTTATGTCTGTCCGCCACAAATATTGAAGTCGTAATATCACTATAAAAGCGTTAAAGCACATAAAATCATATTAAAATATATACATTTACAGTAAATGTTAATATAATCATCATAAATCTTAGAGAACGAAACACGAAAACTTCTGTGTTATCCTCTTATTTAGTGGTCTTTAAGCGCTCAATATTGATGTTTTCCACGGTAGCTCCAATAACTACCGTTTGGCGTTGTTGTCAGTGCCACTCGATATTAGTAAATTTAATATAAATTAGTTTGTTTTCTACTGTCGTGAGATAATTTTAATAACTGTATTTGTTATTTAACCTTACAAAATCATCTTATTTTATAATGTCTTAGAGCAAACCACATTCACAAATAAAGAGTCTGTGATGTACTGTAAACATCGCCAAATTGGAAACATGTACATTTACAAGTATGTACTGTACATGAATTCGTAAATTTAGAATACTTTTTTCTGTACTATATTAAAAACTAAAATTTATTTGCTTGTAAGCTTAAAATAGATTCTTATTAACCATATACTATTAAAAATTCATTTATAAATAAAATACAGAACTGGGAATGGTTATTTGTGGTTTAGCCTAGTGACAAGTAAATTCGACTTATGTCGCCTCTCCTGGAACCAATTATCGACGTAAGGCAAGGTATACCTGTACATAAAGGAAATTTTTTTGTTGTTTTTTTACTTTTTTGGATTCAGGTGGTCTCAAAATGCAGAGATTTGCAAAAACTCAGAGGGTCAATTTTGGTACGATTCCATCAATTTCCCTTGTTATGTGTACAAAACAGCTGGAAAAATTAAATGAAAAAATCTACAAAAGAATCCAACCAAAAAAGCTATTACTGCAAAAATTAATAGAAAGGAAGTTTAGCCTCTCTGGACACATCTGTAGAATGAAAACAAGTGATCAAAACAAAAGAAAAAACCTCAGAGTGGTTTGATAACATTAACACATTGGTTGCAAACCTGTTATTGCTCAGATCACTTTTCTGATGTCATTTTGATTTTGTATATTGTACCGTATGAAATAAATAATTATTTTGTCATGATTTTTATCAGATAAAAGTTTAGGATCACCGTCTTTCTGCATTAATAAAGTTTTGATGAGTAAAGCACAAAAATAAACAAGTATCTCACAAGCACTTTCAATGCATAGTTTGACTGTTAATTAAACCTGCAAGTTTAACAGTGCACCATTTAAATTTAACACATGTTCCAATTAGTACAAATTAACATTAAACAGTTAAAAATAACAAGTGCACTCAAATTAGAACATATTAACATTAATGTTAAAATTTATAACCAACATACTGCAATTTGTTTTCACCTGAAGAAGACATTCTATACATGTCAAAAGTGCTTGCAGGATATTTTTGTTTTACTCATCAAAACTTTATTAATGCCAAAAGACAGTAATCTTAAACTTTTATCTGATATTTTACTGTTTATTTTATTGTGTAAATGTTTCCATTTTTTCCCAAAATAAATATTTTGTTCCATGAGGCCATGACTATTTTTAATTCTTAATCCAGATGCCTATTATTCATTATTAACAGTTATTTTCTATCAGTATGTTTGTATCAGATGCTGTAAGCCAGATTGTGTTTCATGAGATAACTTATAGGTGTCAAAAAAGAAACAGTCACCTATGAATTAACTTGTGATCAGCAGTCAACATGTTAAAGAATAATGTAATGCAGAACCATACAAGCTCACCCAAAGCACCCCCGATATAACAGAATGGAGAAAGTCAGTGAAATAACATTGGACTCCAACAGGCATTGTTGGAGTCCAACGTTTTTTCACTTATCATCAATCAGTGTCCATTGATGATTTTGGAAATAATTTGTAAAATACAAGGCATGTCTAGAAAGTAAGTACTGTTTTGTTCTACCACTACCGTAGTGGTAGTATCGCAGTTCAGCACCTGCACACACGTGTCTCTGGTTGATTGTCAGTCCAGTGATGCCATTACAGCCGGATTGTGTTGTTTTTCCACGTGTTAGTGAGCATTCAAAATGTTTAAGACAATTGCTGATCCCGCTGACTGTGAAGTGTGTTCTGTAATATTGTTTTTGAATGCAAAGAATGTTAAGCTAGTTGAAATTCATCGTCAATTTGTAGAGATTTATGGTGAACATGTAATGAGTGATGGAATGGCAAGAAAGTGGGTTCAACAATTCAATTCTGGACGCACCAATGTTCATGATGAAGCACAGAGTGGCTCGCCTTCTGTTGTCAATGATGGTTTGGTTGCAAAAGTGAATGAGAAAATTCTTGAAAACAGACGGTTTACAATAAGATTGCTTTGTGATGAATTTCCACAAATTTCAAAAACTGTTTTGCATGAGATTGTCACAAATCGCTTAAATTATCACAAATTGTGTTCCCAAAATGCTTATGGATGCCCACAAAACGAAGCAACTTGGAAGTGCTTTGACATTTCTTACCCAATACAGTGAATAGGGTAATGATTTCCTAAACAAAATTGTTACCGGTGATGAAACTTGGGTTTGTCATGTTATTCCAGAATCAAAACAACAGTCGATGGAGCGGAGGCACTCTGGGACAGACAGGGCATTCTGCTTGTTGAGTTCCTTTCCAGAGATGAAACCATCAATGCGGAATGATACTGTGAAACGTTGCGAAAACTTCATAGTGCAATTCAAAACAAAAAGTGTGGAAATCTCAGTAAAGGCATTGTGTTGCTTCACGACAATGCATGCCCCCATACTGTTGGTGTCACTCAAAACCTTATTCAACAATTCGGTTGCGAGCGGTTTGATCACCTGTCATACAGCCCCGACCTTGCACCTGCAGACTACCATTCATTCTTGAACTTGAAGTATGATTTTGGAGGGAGGCGCTTTGCCAGCAATGATGATGTGACAACCGATGTTCAGCATGGTTGTCTTCACTGGTGGCATCTTTCTTTGAAGAGGGTATAGACAAGTTGGTTTCCCGATATGACAAATGTCTGAACAATGGTGGTAACTATGTAGAAAAATAGTTTCCAACATGCTCTTTCATGTAAAAATAAATTTTGTTTTGAAAAAAGATTTTTTATGAAAGTTTTTCCAAAACAGTACTTACTTTCTGGACATGCCTCATATTTTTTCTGATGTCTTTTTATAGGAAAAACTTGAAAGTTAAGTTTCTTAATTTTTGAAAATACATTTTTTAAATTAAAACTTTGTCAAAAATGAAATTATTCCTCATAGATAAAACAATGACTGAAACATTAAAATATAAGAAAACTCTTCTTAAAGTTTAAAAATATAAATAAAAACAATGAATGAAATTAAAAATCAATTACCTTTTTTTCGCAGTTCAGGCTTTCCCTTCTTAACAGTTGCAACAATCATATCACCAGCACCTGCAGCAGGAAGTCTATTTAAACGACCCTTGATGCCATTGACAGCAATTATATATAAATTTTTTGCACCAGTATTATCTGCACAATTAATTACAGCACCTACTGGTAAACCCAGAGAAATGCGGAATTTTGCTCCAGCTGTTCCACCACGTCCTATAACAAAACCACAATGTAAATAAAAATAAAGTAACAAAATCCAAAACTTCAAAGTTGAATTATCTACAAGCCAAACTATAATTCTATTACTTATTACAGCACCTACTGGTAAACCCAGAGAAATGCGGAATTTTGCTCCAGCTGTTCCACCACGTCCTATAACAAAACCACTTTGTAAATAAAAATAAAGTAAATAAATCAGTGATTAAAGATCTGTAATAACAGAAGGACACTGTTTTGTATATAGAGAAGTCTGTTACAGCAAATGAATTTTCTTATAATTTTCCTATACTTTTGGACACACTAACATCAGTCATCTGTAATAACACGAGGTCCAAAATATCAANCAACAAATTCTGTTTCCAGACCTACATTCATTTATATTATATAACCGTATAGGATTATATATATAACCTCTATAGGACTGGACAATCCTATACAGATCCAGTGTAACTGATAATATATCTACACAGTAAGCAGCAGTTGCAAGCTAAATAATCACTAGAGATTGATCTTTCTTTCCAAATTAATTTAGTAATTTAGCAAAAGATGGCAGACTAACTGCCTAAGTTTAAGCCAAATCTCAATATGATCTATACTAAAATATAAAGCAATGTTTGTTTGTTGAAGGTAATCTTAGAATCTACTGAACCATTTTTTAAATCCAAACAAAAACATCTGAGAAAATTTTGCCACGTAAAAACTTATGACAATTTAGACAACAGTCAAATTTTTTAAAGAAGTTTTCCTTTGGTAAACTCCTAAAACACTTCCTTTGATAAACCTGACACTTGAAAGCAAAATGTAGAAAATAATAATACAGATAAAATCTTGTGTATACTGCTTCAAAGCACCAAGCTTATCTTTACCAATGGAAAACTCCTTAAAAAATTTTGACTGTTGTCTAAATTGTTGTGTTTTTACATCTCAGATTTTTTTTGTTTGGATATCAATTGTTTCGTTTAACTTAATAATTGTATTATTATGTAAAGACACAAAACAATGGCCTATAATGGTAACACATCACAAACCAATGCTTTTGATACGCCATTTAGAAAAATCCTTATAAAAAGTTTTAATTGGCATATATTTTAGTTTTTGCTATTCTGATTAACTGAAATAACTCAATTTAAGTGTTTAGGGCAGAGATTTTTTGAATTTGAAAAAATTGTAGATCTATAAATTCCCACTGTCATTTGTCTGTCCTTCCTTCCTTAATCTCGAGAAGAGTTAGACAGATGAAAACCGAGACCAGATATGGAAAGATTAGAGTCAGGGAAACATAGATTTATTATATATGAACTTTGGTGTAAACTGTAAGTCACGTTATTTCAATTCAAAAATTGTTCCCTAAAAGAAGTTAGATGACCTGTATGACTATTCTTAATGGAAATGTATGATGTAGAGGCAAGACACTAATAATTCAAGGTGGAGAGCATATTTCTAATTTAAAACATGATTAACAATTGCAGCCAGGCATTGTGTCAATGTCACAATAAATAATTGTTTCTTTATTCAGTTTTGATTTTGATTTCTGTAGTTCAGGTAGTTATGATATGCTTTGTTTATATTGTCTTGGTTGTTCATTTCTTATAATAATACTCTTATGTTATCAGATACAACTATAAAGAGCAAATTTATTTCCTTAAATGAAATTAAATTTTTGTACATAGGTCTATAGTATTTTATTATAGTATTTCATTGTTTTAGTATTAATCCTATTGTACTATTACTTAAAAATAAGATTTAGTCTTATATTATAAGATATCTACCTACATAAATTGATTCTTTCAGTTACTTTTCAGATATACACATGTGCAAGTGAGCTGTATCAACAATAAAATGACGTAAAGAAAGTTACAATTGTTACAAAATAAAGCCATGTTAAAGGCAAGCAAATTATATCTCCCCCACTCCTTCCTGCTGATTTCATTTCTCCTACAAACTCACAAATCCTTTGACCAAGAAAGACCAAATTCCACATAGTTATTCTTGTTATCTACAGGAAACATGAACTACCATAAAACTTGGAACACCTCACTCCCCTCTGACTTTATCACCAAAATCCAAAACCTTTTGAGCAATGTGGACGAATTTTGCATAGTTACTCCTCCAAAAAATTCCCTACAAATTACCAAACTCTAATTTACACCAAACAACCTGATTTTGTATAGTTACTCTCTAACCGTGTGGGAAACATACGCTATCTTATAACAAAGACAACTCAACCCTCTCCTGAGTTCCCAGTCAATACTGAGCATTCTTTGCTAGTTAATTAAAAATTAGTATAATTATAGACTGTAAATCTGTATATGGCTTTAGGTCTTTCACTAATTAAATATTGTGTTACGATGTATGTTTGCAACAAAATCCACCAAATTATGGACTTGAGTTAGAAATATAAATTATGAAATACTAAAGCAATAGAAAAAAAACAAGTTGAAAATTTTTTTGTCAGTTTTTTAAAATTGTAAGCAACGTTTACAGTTCTTAACAAAAGAACTGTATAATATGTAGCAATCATGCCTAAATCTTAATATTGAAGTATCCAGGAACCAGATTTGTTTTGGGTTATAATTAGATTAAAGTTTAATCACTGAAATAAAATTATTTTGACTAGAATAGTATTTCTCAACCTCTAACAAATCGCCGCCCCCTTCAATAAAACCGTTACAAAGTATTGTCCCCTTCACTTCAAAATTCCAATGCCGAGGGCCAAGGCTAACACCAAATTCGTACTGCATTGAATAGATTAGTGACTAGTATAATGTTATTTGTTTAATTATTGTACAATATAACAAATAAAATATCTAATTATTCTTAATATAATGTTTTACTCTATAGCCCAAAAAATTGTTTTTTGCCCCCAAAATATAAATTGTTACTAATCGCCCCATCAACATGGAAAAATGCCCACATGGGGGCGATATCACCCCGTTGAGAAACACTGGACTAGAGGTAGCTAATTAAGGCCTATCTTTGTATATAATTCGTCTCTGTAATCCAAAAGGTTTTTGGTAGACGGACTCACAGCAAAACTTTTAGTTAAGAACTCACTTTTATTCCTTAAAAAATGACATGTGCATTTCGAGTTGGTATACTCATCCAACCCCTCTACAGTGCTAATTTTTCAAAAAACAATAAAAGGTTACAATAATCAATACATGACATAAATACATTACAAAATATCATTCCTTACTTACTCTTAAAGTAAAAGTTGTGTATGTGGGTTACCACTATATCTAAACACCAACCATTTGTTTTCCATTTAAAATGCACTTGAAGTGTTTGCATAACATCTCTTCTAAAAACCATTATACATTATGACTTTACTGTAAACTTAACAAGTGTATACAATAATCAATACATTACATACCTTTAAAATACAAATAGCATACGAACAATCAAACTAACTAGCAATACATTAGAATACCACTTTTAAATCAATCGCAATAACTTCATTCTTTTATTACTATATAGCGCCCTCTGTCATTTTGTACCATCTAGAATCTATTTGCATCCCATCAGAAATATTTATTAAATTATTTTGGTTTTTTTTAATTTCTAAGTGTTCTTTAAATTTATGTTTATATATGTCCTTTTCATGGTGTAGAATTTTAATATTATTGCGATTAATTTTACATTTTTTATTTTCCGTGTGTTCGTACCATGGCGAATTTTTATATCTCAATCTGATAGCCGCTTCGTGTTCCTTTATTCTTACATCTAATACCCTTCCAGTTTCACCTATATAACTACATGGATTCATACAGTTACATTCTATTTTGTATACAATACCTGTCTTTTTTAACGGATCTATATTATTAAGGTTACTTCTGTATAAAAATATTCTGTTTTAAATTTGAAGAATTTTTCAATTCCTTGTTATCTTCAACAGATGAACTTAAAAGGATATGTCAGAAAGTTATGTAAAAGTGTCACTTTTGCTGCTGACTTGTGAAACCTCACCAAATGATTAGCTCCCAGGTGTGAAAGTTGACAGTTATTGGACAAAAATGCATTTGAAATTATTCAACTTTTTAAAAATGAAATATTATCTTTAATGCACATTTTAATTAGCTGTAACAGTCATTTCATAAATAAAATAAAATTATTTATGATTTAATTGATAATATTTTTAGGTCATTAACTTTATTTAAAAGTTGTTACAATTTTTAAAACAATTAAAAAAAAAAAAAAAAGTTTGCTGTAGGTAGGATTGAACCTAGATCGTCCACATGGCAAGCGAGTTCGCTACAGACAGCCATTTCGCTGTGCTGCAATACTGTAAAATCGATCAGTATATGAGCTGCACTTAACCCTTAACACCCAATGACGAGATAACTTGTCAAGATTACATAGCGTTACCTAAAATTCGGTAGTTAAGGCCACTTTTGACAATTTTTTTTTTCAATTTTTGGAATGTTTTTTAGGTTTCCAAATTTTTTCAAAATTTTTTGTCCACGCGAAAAAATTTTATCGCAATTTTAATGAGCCTTTGATAAGGCTCAATTAAGGCTTAATTGTTTTTTAATGGGAGTTTTTTATCAAATTTATTTCATGGTTCCTAAGTTGTAGCACACGGATTTTCCTTCGGTAAAGTTATTTAAAGCTACTTTCTGATGTCAGAAACGACTTCCGATAGTTTTTTAATTTTTTTAATTAATCGATTTTTTTATATATTAATTTATTTAATTAGGGGGGTCGGAAATTGCAATTAAAATCTTAATTTTTTAAAAATATACGTGCCGCTCATATTCACCCTACTTTAAAACTTTAGAGCCTTTTTTCTCAGAATCTTCTGGCTAGTGCGCTTTACAATTCTTCTGGGTGGACACTCTTGAGGTATACTACTAACCTGCAAAGTCTCATCCTGAACTGAATTTCCTAGACTGTAAGGTCCCCTTGTCAGTTCTACTCAAGACACTTGTATTGAGAGAAAAAGTGACCTAAGCAATCAGAATTCACTGGAAAAGAAGTTAAATATTAAAACGAGA